AGAACCTGAATTCAAATTTTATTAACATTTTTTTGTTTTTCCTATTTATTTCACCAGAGCACAATTTATCTACCACCAATATTCAAAAACCAAAACAAACCGAACCATAAATTCCAAGTAACTCACCTATATTAAGATAGAATCCAACAAAATCTCAGAATCCAAAAAGATGTAATACATGGTTCATGGTGTCACCATCCGAATGTACAACATAAAACCTGAAGTGCGACGTAACTAAGAGTCCTATATTTGGCTGCAAAGCAACTAAACTTCACACAAATCTACTAATTTCATACTAAACTTTTATGTTCATGTCACTCATTGCCATACTATAAACCTTGGTGCAATATACTTTCTTGTAATTCCAGGAATATCTAGAACCTAAGTTTCAGTTTCTAATTGACATTTTCTCTTTTCTCCAAAAACATCACTTATCTACCATTAAAGTCATTGACAACATTCCAGATTTTTTACAAATCCAAATAGATTCCAAGTAACACACCTAGATTAATTAGAATCCAAACAAAATCTCAGAATTCAATAAGATGCATATACACTCTGTTCCACCTGTCACCGATTTGAACACTCAAATCAAAAGTTAAATTGCATCCTCATTACAGAGTCCTCACTCTGCACAATTTGCTTAACTCCGGACAAAACAACATCCAAATGAACCTTGGCGTAATATGCTTTCTAGTAATTCTTGTGATTTGAAGAACCTAAGTTCCAGTTTCTAATTGACTTTTTTCTTTTCTCCAAAACACTACTTATCTACCGTTAAAGTCATTGGCAACATTCCAAATTTTTAACAAACTCAAATAGATTCCAAGCAACTAACCTAGATTAATTATAATCCACCAAGATCTCAAAATCCAACGCGCATGTCCTTTATTCCACCTGTCACCCATTCGAATACTACAATCAAATGCCAAAGTGCAATATCATTAAGTTTCAGTTTCTAATTGACCTTTTTCATTTCTCCGAGACACTACTTATCTACCACTAAAGTCGTTGGCAACATTCCAGATTTTTAACAAAAATAGATTCAAAGCAACTAACCTAAATTAATTATAATACAACAAAATCTCAAATCAAATGCGCATATACATTTTCCACCTGTCACCCATTTGAATACCACAAGTGCAATGTCATTAAGTAAGAGTCCAATAATTGCCTGCAAGCCTGCAAAGAACAAAACTCTGACAATTCACGTAACTTCTTACTGAGCCTAATATGTTCTGGTTAGTCTAGCTTAAAACTTGTAGAATGGTAAAAAACAACCTCTCCAATAGACCTCGCTACAATGAGCTTTCTTGTAAATCTGGTATTTCTAGAAGCTTACTTTTAGATTCTAAAGACAATTTTTCTTTTCTACATTTATTTCACCACAATGCATCTTGCCTACCACAAAATAATTGGTAATACTCCAGATCTTAACAAACCCATAGATAAAATCTCAAGTGACCGATTGACCTAGATTAGATAGAATCCAAAAAAGATGCAATCACTATCTAGACATTCAATTTAAATCCCAAAGTTCCTTGTGTCCCCACCTTGTATATAAGTGCTATAATTGCCTGCAAAGAAACCAAACTCTTCAGAACACCAGCAAACTACTAACTAAACTTGGTATGTTTCGGTTACCCTTTGCCTTGAGCCTTGTAGAATGGGAAAAAAAACAAAAAACAAATAAACCTAGCTGCAATATGCTTGTAAATCTTGGGATTTGTCAAAGCTAAGTTTCTTTTCTAAATAACCTTTTTCCTTTTCATCATTTATTTAACCAGAACACTACTAATTGATCACGAATTTCATCGGCAATACACCAGATATTTAACAATCGACAAACAAATTTCAAGCCGCAAATCTAAATTAGAAAGAATCCCAAAAGATGCAATACTTAGTTCCTCACGTTACCATATGGACAATCAATCTAAATCCTGAAGTGAAATGTAGTTGTATATGAGTCTCCAAATGCTTGCAAAGGAACCAAACTCCGCACAGCACCAGCAAACTCTAAACTTGGTATGTTCTGGTTACTCTGTCTTAAGCCTTGTAGAATGGTGAAAAACCACCACCAAATTGCCTTACTGCAATATTCTTCCTTGTAATATTTGGAATTTCTCAAACCTAAGTTTCTGTTCTAAATAACCTTTCTTCTTTTCTCCATTTATTTTACCAGAACACTAGTAATCAATCATAAAGTTCATTGGCGATACTCTAGATATTTGCCAACCTACAAATAAATCCCAGCAACTCACTTCGATCAATTAGAATCTAACAAGATGCAAATATACATTGTTCTTCCTGTCACCATTTGAATATTCAATAGATACCTAAAGTGCAAAATCTTTACATAAGAGTCCTGTGTATGCCTACAAAAGGCAAACTCTAGACAAATCTAAATACTACTTATCTCAATACCATGTTTTAGATTCTTAAACCTATTTTTGTAATCTCCATTTACTTCACCACAATAATACTTATTTACCATAAAATCAATGACAATACTCGAAATGTGTACAAACACAAGAAAAATCCCAAGTAATTCATCTAAATCAGTTAGAATCCAAAAAGATGCAGTACTTAGTTACTCCTGTCACCATCTTGACAAACCACAAGAAACCCTACTCCTACCTTGAAGTAGACGAAAACATGCGCATAGAACAAGAGAATGAAAGTGGACTTTTTAACAACAGAGCACCCCCAGATGAATTCCCATTTAAAGTATCAAAGATCAATTAGTAGCAAATGAAAAGAAACCAAAGTACAATGATCAAGAAAGCAAGAATTCAAAAACAGAAAATCAAGAAACAAGTTTATCCAAAGAAACCTCAAGAAAGGAAAAATTGGGAGAAAATGGAGAACTCACCAATAAGGCTAGAATCTATATAAACATCTAAAAGCAAACTTCGAGGGAAAAGAGAGGCCAGTCATTTAAGATAGGCAGTAGGACTTTCATTCTGGAGTTCCTCATTGACAAAAGAGGGAAGATAAAAACAAGTAGAGACACTGTTGACTAGCAAATAATATACCACCAAACCAACAACTGGGAAAACGACGCTGAAATGAAAGTGAAATACAAGAACTGGAAAAGAGAGTTGCAGCTTGTGGTAAGCTATTTTTACCTTAGGAGACAATTTCACCTTTTACAATTTGCAACCCATCGAAAGAGTATCTGCACCTCAAAATAAAGGCGGATGGCATACAAAGAAACCAAAAGCGGGTCATATGCACTGTCCCAAGTAAAAAAATCAAAGCCTAAGTGAGAGAAGCAACAATTTATTTCCATTTAACAACTAAAGAAATTATCATCAATTAATTCTAAGTCTTTAGCCACCGAGACAAGTCCCTGTTTTGTTTTTGAGAATTTCCATCTAAGCATCAACATCAGTTATGTATCATCCAAGATATAACAGAAAGGAAAACCATCATTCAATAGGTAAAGTAATACAGAAGATGCATGGGCATAACTGAAACTAAGCAACATGTCTTTCAATAAGAATTTCCAGCATAATGCAAAAACAAGAAAGAAAAGACAAAATGTATAATCCAATAGCATAAATAGACCGCGTGACAGAAAATCTAAAGTAAACTAATCAATGTTTTAAAAGTAAGCAATAAGTATTCACTAATATTTTTTGCCCTGGATAATCTAGTTGCGTGACTCAAAAACTCCAAATGGTTAAAACATATGCCTTCTATCCCTCTGCGACTTGCAAAAAAAGGACCCATAACCCATCAAATGAATAGGCATACGAGCTGGTATGCCTACAGAAATACTCAAATGCATCAGGACAGCTGATAAATTTTGAAAAATCAACTGTGTATTTCAGTAGGAATACCCCAATACATGTCAGGAAAGCAGTCTGTGAGAAACTTGGAAGCATGAAGAAAGCAGTAATGACAGGTACTTGGGACTACAAATGGCAATAGGATGATGAAAGAACCAAGTATTTGGTTACATCAAGAGCTCAGTGACAAACAAACTAAAAGGATGGAGAAACAAAATGCTGAGCTTAACAGGGAAGGAAGTCCTGACAAAGTGACTTTGGCATATGGCCTGTTTTAAACTGCCTAAATGGACTATGCAAGGATATATGCAAGTGTATAGGGAATTTCTGGTGAAGAAGTAATCAGCAGGACAGGAAAATGCACTGGATAAGTTGGAGGAAATTATCTGAAGTCAAAGGGAAGGTGAGACTGGGTTTCAGAGACTTAGAAGCTTTTAATGAAGCTTGACTTGCTAAGCAACTTTGGCAAATCATCTCTTACCCAAATCTGCTAACGAATAATGTGATCAGAGCAAAGTACTTAAAGGACACTAACGCTCCTGAAACCAATCCTCCTCAATCAGCTTCATGGACATGGAAAAACATACATAGTGCATGGAGATTGTTACAAAGAGGCCTTAGGAAAAGAGTAGGAGAAGGAAGCCAGGTGAACATATGGAAGGACAGATGGGTAATGGGATCAAAAACAGGCAAAGTAACCACAAGATGCCCTCCAAACTGCTAGTTGCAAACTGTGAATCAGCTAATAAAAAATGGAAGATGGAATATAGACATCCTGCAGGAAATCTTCAATCAAGAGCGCAGAGAGCAAATAGCCAGCATGCCACTCAGTTTGTTCAAAAGACAAGATAGGTTCTTCTGGAGCTTTTCAAAGTCTGGAGTTTACACAGTGAGGACAGGCTATGCAAATGCAGTGCAGGAAAGGAGCAATGAAAGAAGAAGAGAAAGCATAGAAGAGGAAACAAGCTGGGAGATCAGAGAGCATAGCATCTGGAAACAACTTTGGAAGCTAAACCTCAAACCCAAGCTGAAACACTGCATCTGGAGGTGCTCGCAGAATAGTGTAGCTGTTAAAGAAACAATCCACAATAGAACAGGCAAAGGAGACAAAATTTGCAGTGTGTGTGGAGAGGAATTAGAAACGATAGAACACATGTTTTTTCAATGTCCAACTGCCCAAATAATGCGGAGATTAGCACCAGTGAGATGGGAAGGATTAAAGGATCTCTAAAACAACCTGTGGAGACGATGGGAAGCAGTAGTTTAGACAGGGACAATGGTGCAAGGAATGGAACGGATCGACCTGACAGCAAACAGGTCAGTGTTCGAACAACAAAAAAGAGAAGCAAGAGAAATAATTCTAAAGGCACAACAAGAGTGGATTGAATTTGAAGAGGCAACAGGAAAAGGAAAAAGGGATAAAGAAGGAAGAACAGGTCCAAAATAGGGAGAACAGTTGGGAGAGCCACCAAAAGAAGTAATCATCAGAATCAATACGGATGTTTCTATCAGTGCAAAAATGATCAGAATGGGAAAGGGAATAATAGTAAGGAACTGGACAAGAAACATCATAAGAGCAATCGGTGTAATGGAAACAAAGAAGGGAGAAACTCTAATGAAAGAAACTTTAACTATTAGAATGGCACTCCAAATAGCAAGACAAGCAGGTTAGAGGAAAATAGAATCACTATCAGACTGTAAAACAGCAATTGACCAGATCAAAAGCAACAATGTGCAGGGTGGTCATATAGCAACCATTCTGGAATACATTGACGACCTAATTCAAGGTTTTAAAATAGGAACCATTTTGCACAGTCTCTTTTGCACCTAGATCAGCTAATGTAGGAAGTCATAGGCTAGCACATTTTGCAACAAAGGTAGTTAATGACAGAGAATGGGTAAACAACTTCCCAGTGTGGCTAGTAGAAGCAACCAACAATGATTGGAGGGCTGAGGCCCCTTTTTTTAAATGACCCTTGTATTTTCAGGTGTTAATATATACACCGATATGAACGTTTGTGGAAAAAAAAGAATAGGCATACGAGCAGATAAAATAAGCCATAAATGACAGATGGAATAGTATTCAAACCACCGGGAGTTTGTGATTCAATCACCTATATTATCTGAGGCCAAAAAATCCAGTCAATCATCTACCGGCTTCTTTTTCATTTTTTTCTTCTTTGTCAGAGTAGGTTTCAAGCATGATATAAACCTGTGCAAATAACTGGTGATCAATTTTATGCCATTTAACTTCTATAGAAATAACTGGCATTCAATTCCTTTTTGCCTTTCTTTTTTGACTTTCAAAGTGCTTCAACATAAAACAAAGAATGTCTAGATCTCCCTTAAAATAGAACAAAATAGAGAGGCAGACAGAAAAATTAAAAGTGGGTCATGCATATTCTCATGAGTGAAAAATCAAAGCACAAATGAGGGAAAGCAACAATTTATTGCCATTCAACAACTAAAGAAACTATCAGCAATCAATTCTAAGTCTTTAGTTACTGAGACAAATCCATTTTCTTTTCTCTTCCTTTTGAGAATTTCCATCTAAGCAAATGCCATCATTCAATAGACAAATTACTACAGAACATGCCTGGGCAGCATAACTGAAACTAAGCTAGATGTCTTTCAGTAAGTATTTCTAGCATAACCAAAGACAGCTGGTGCAAAAACAAGCAAGAAAAGATAAATTGTATAATTCAACAGTGTAAACAGACCACACGACAGAAAATCTAAAGTAAACTAATCAAAATGCTAAAAGCAAGCAAAAGTATTCACTAATATTTTTTGCCCTGGATAATCTATTTGCTTGACTCAACAACTCCATGTGGTTTAGACATATACCTTCTATCCCTTTGCGGCTTACAAAAAAATGTACTGCAACCCATCAAATGAATAGGCATATGAGCAGATAAAATAAGCCATAAAGGACAGATGGAATAGTATTCAAACTACCAAGATCAAATAACTACTCTAATCCCTTCAAGCATGATAGAAACATGTACAAATAACTGGTGAACAATTTTATGCCATTTAACTTCTATAGAAATAACTGGTATTCAATTCATTTTTGTCTTTCTTTTTTATTTTCGAAGTGCTTCAACACAAAAACAAAGTTTGTCTAGATCTCCCTTAAAACAGAACAAAATAGAGAGGCAGACAGAAAAATTTTTAAGACCTTCAGTTTGTAACATGTATAAACCAGACTAAAACAAATTAAATAAAACAGCAATCTACATGATCAGAACTCAATCGGAAGCAAGAATCCATAAATCAAGGCCAACAGCCACTTTATGCAAACCCATGTACAGTGCAAAAATTCACAAATAATTTGGCTTTAAGTCATAATCGATATCAAATAACAGATAAATCAGTTATATGCAGCAAGAAAGCACAGAACTTGAAGAATCTCATCTCCAAGAAGGGGAAGGGGGTAGAAATAGTAAAGAAATAATACTTATCTGAAAGTGTTTCTCTCAAAAATCTTTATTCACTGCTGGAAAAGAAAGCAATTCTCTTCATACAAACCTTTCTGCTCACTCTCCCCCCCTCTCTCACTTCTTTGAATTTTTGGAAATGGAGAATACAACTACGAACTTTATGTAGAGGCTACTGGGTACTGGTAAATGGCTAATTTTCGCTCACTAGTGAGGTCCGAATACCAACGGTGAACTCAGAAAGTTTGGTTTGGATGATTAGTTATCATAAATTGGTAACTTGGGTCGAATAGAAAATCACGCTGGAAAAGTTGAAATCCAATTGAGAGGTGTTTGTAGACAGTTGACATCGACTAATGAACATTTTGGAATTAAGTCAGTAATGTAGACATTAGTGAGGGCCAAAAAAATTGCAGAAGTTTAGTTCTCAAAAAAAAGGAGATAAGCAAGAACAATTGGCTCCTCTAGCGCTGAAGACGGTGGCACGGATAGTAATACATAAAGGGCTTTCATTAGAACCAGATTTTCAATCTAAGAATCAAGAATGCAAATATGAAGTTGATGTTGTTTGGATCAAAAGAATTCACTTGTATGAGTTCAGACTATTGGAAGGACTTCATAGGTCACTAACAATTTTCATATACCACTTTGTGAATTCTTGGCCTACTGTTATGTATATGAAATCTTTGCAGGGGTACAAAATTGTTTGTGATATGCTATTCCATTCCCTTGTGGCTTTAGGAAATACTTGTACCCAAGGAAGTGGATAGGTTTACAAGAAGATAAGATAACAAAAGGGAAATGTAACCCAAAGACAGGAGCATTTTCAGGGTAATAATTCCAATAAAAGAATTGAAGAAAGGTGAAAAGGAATATCAGACAACACAAGAAATGATGGATAGAAAAGCCTATCCCTCGGGCCTGATAGCAAGCTGAAGTTTCATCCTAGAGAAATGACTCTTGGAAGCTATATCAAAGAAACTACGATAATGTTCAATTGCCTACATGAACTCCACAGAGAAAAGCTAAACTATTTTGTAAAAATCGTAACAGGACAACCTCCAAATGAACCTTGGTGCAACATGCTTTCTTGTCATTCTTCAGGATTTCTAGAATCTGAGATTTCACTTTCTAATGACACTTTTTAGATCTCCAACTTATTTCACCAGAACACTACTTATTCAACATAAGATTTGTTGACTATCTCCCAAACTCGTAACAATCTCACAAATAAATTCCAGGTAACTCACCTATATTAATTTCAATTCCCCAACACAATATTGGAATCCAACAAGATGCAAATTACTTTACTCCTCCTATCACCATCCAAATATTCAATTCAAACCCTGCAAGGCAACATCCTTACTACAAGAGTCAAACTTTAACTTGCAAAGGGATAAAACTCTGCACAGTTCCACAAGATACTTACTAAGCTTGCTAGATTGGTCACCCTTTGCCTTAAACCTTGTAGATTGGTCAAAAACAACCTCCAAACGAACCATTGTAAAATTTGCATTTTTGAATCAGGATTTCCAGAACCTCAGTTTCAAATTTTATTAACATTTTTTCCTTTCCCAATTATTTCACTAGAGCACAACTTATCTACCAAAAAATCTATTGTCAATAGTCAAAAATTATAACTGACATATAAATTTCAAGTCACTCAACTACATCAGATAGAATCCAACAAAATCTCAGAATCTAATGAGACATCATACATAGTTCATTGTGTCACCATCTGAATACATAAACTCTAAAGTATGACGTTAGAAAGAGTCATATATTTGCCAGCAATGGAACCAAACTTGGAACAAATATATGAATTCCACACTAAACTTAGTATGTTCTTGTTACTTTTTGCCATTAACCTCATAGAATGGTAAAAACCAACCTATAAACCTTGGTGAAATATGCTTTCTTGTAATTCTTGGGATTTCCAGAACCTATGTTTCAGTTTCTAATTAACCTTTTTTTTTCTCCAAAAGCACCACTTATTAAAGTCATTGACAACATTCCAGATTTTTTACAAACCCAAATAGATTCCATGGCACCCACAGGAATGCTAGAGGAGCTAATTGTATACGTATCTTCTCTTTTTTGGAGATTAAAATCCAGCATTTTTTTGTCCCTCACTACCCTAAGCATCACCCAATGCTTTCCATTAAGTTCATTAGTCTTTATTAGCAATCTACAGCCATTTCAACATTAGAATCAAAATTTTCTAATGTGATTTAGGATTATCTCTGTTGGGTTTCAATCTCTAATGATAAGTGGCACAGATCAAAAATATAACTGAGCTCAATGACTGATTGTGCAGTTATTTTTCATTCTTCAGTCTCAAATGTCTAAAGTCACTAGACGTATTAGTCAAAGATTTTTAATGTAGGCAACAAGTAAATCATTCACTTAAGAATTTTGGCCAAAAATAGTGCACTTGCATGACTAAAACTCCATATGGTACCGTCTATTTCTCTTTGGCTTACAAAAAAAGAACCCATTCCCTATCTAATTCATAGGTTTATGAGTAGATAAAATAAGCCAATACGGCCAACGGCACATCATTTAAACCATAAAAGGTCTTCAATCATGCAATTACACTATTAGAGGCCAAAAAAGTTTAGTAAATAATGACTTGTAGCCTACTTTAAGCACTTAGACTAATATTTCTATTGATTTAATCATTTTCAAACTAAAGTATAAAAGAAACTGCACAATCAGTCAACGTGCTACCCATATATTTTTGAGTTATGCCAATACCATATGAGAATGAAACCCAGTGGAGAGAATAGAAAAATCACGCTACAAAATTTGAAATCTAACTATGAGGCGGTTGTAGAGAGTAGATATAGACTAATGAGCTTACCGGAACTAAGTGGG